GATCATACTATGTACTGACTGTATGGAGGACAAAAACCTGAAGTGATTGAGTGAGAAATCACAGTGAATTTCCGTGTTGCACGTGTAAATAACATGGAGTGATGAAATCTGACTTTCAGACCAATGTGGGAGTTTCTGTCCAGTTGGAGCTTGCTCTAGCATTTCCAAGCATGGGATTTCCAAGCTGAAAACCACACTCAGGATACCCACAAAAAACTAGACAAGATGGAATCTGGCTTAATGAGCATACACCCAAACACCAGCAGCATGAGAGATCCAATCAAGAGCTGATTGAATTTCAATCTGGCATCACAAGTGCCCCTCAAGCATCTGTTACTAGCAGCTCTTGCCAAAGCAAAACCAATTCTGGATCTGACAAGGCCACATACTTGAGAGTTGTTCTTAGTGCTACATATAGTTGGAATGAATACAGTATGGGGGATTGCTGCAGCATGTGTCCTCCTGTGACTGCAGCTTTAATTCCACAGCAGCAAGCAGGCAAAATTTCTTAAAAGAATTGAGCACATAAACAACCTCCCCCATTATCAACAGCAGTGCTATAAGCCTTYTCTGGATCTTTTTTCTTCAAAGTAGTAGTGCTCAACTGTGGATATCATCTTTTTTAGAGCAGTTGACTCATCAGCACCAGCCCATGGTGAGGAATAATTTTCTTGTTTGATACTGTAGTCTTTTGCTGCACTAAGAGGGCTGTATGGTGTTCTTTAATATTTTTGTCCAGTCTTTATGTTGGCGCCCCTGCAATCCTGAACAATTTTTTTATGGGACTTGAAATTTATGATTCTAGGATTCCAGCAGTCTCCTATTTGGGAAACTCTAGTAGAGAGTCAATGGAGGGGGACTGCAACTAGTTAGATTTTGATAATCTAGACCAGCAAACTGGTCCAAATTCACTGTCTGTTGGCCTGTCCCTTTGGTCTGGGTAACCAGGATCTAGCATTATGGGAATGATCCAATAGAAAGTAGGCTACTAGTATTATGATGGTAGTTATAGTAGCACTTGATTACTACTTACACACATTTTGTACTACTAGTAGTAGGTAGAAAGTAAAAGAAATTAAGAGAAGTTCAATTTTCTTGTGTGAGTTCCAACAAGTACTGGGGAGGTAAGGTATTTATGGTGTACCTGGTACTTCTTRTGCTGGTAATGGTTTCAAATTTTCTTACTATGCATTGCACATCAACAATCGGAATTATGTTTAGTTTCACAGGGCATTCCAAGTGTTTGTACTGTATGCATATAGAAATATCTGCTACAGTTTTTTGCTTGAATTGACATGATTCTGAATGATCTACTAATTATTCTGCATGTTAGCATGCACGAGATTACGTGTACTCTTAGTAGGTGTTAAGTGTGTATGAAAATTGAAATTATAAGATTAGAATTATTCGAAGATTACCAAGCGCGTTCACGAGAATT